GACGTTGAGGTAACTGTCTTTAGAGGCGGCGCTTCCCACACAATAAGACTCGTCGGCCATCAGTACGTGAAGAGCATTGGAGTCGATGTCACTATGAATGGCAACACTTGTGATACCCATCTGTCGACACGTCTTAATCACTCGACAGGCGATCTCTCCTCTGTTTGCGACCAATATTTTGTCAAATTTCTGCACAAAATGACCACAAATTAGACATCAATTCATTGGTCTCTCATTCAGACAATTGTCTTAAATATAGATCTAAACCCTAAACACAAGTCTTAATCACCGATTCTTTGGGATCCAAAGTGTCGGCGAAATAAATGGATTGTTTGCTGAGATATCTTCTATTGGTTCCAACGGTTCCATTGATCTTCAGACACTTATTCGCCCGAAATAAATGCAAATTCCGCTAAAAGTAGACAAAAATATATAATTAGATTCGCTTTCAATGCAAACAATGTCTCGAAATTACGGCAAATGTCTGCAAATGTGGACAAAAAGTCCGGTTTTTGGGAATCGATTGAAACATTGGAGTCATTGTTGAGATATTCAGTGGTTTTCACTATTAATATAACTATAATTCATACAAACAATGACTGGATTTGTCACTATAATAGACAACTATATATAAATTGATACAAAAATAAATCTAATAGGTCCTAGGCAACTAATCATTAGTAACAGTGCTTTAAATTGAATAAATAGTTAGAATTAAATGCAATGTTTTTAGCACTTTGTTTATGCAAATTATACGCCAAAAGGGCGTAACTCCACTTAACACACTCTTACACTGTTTCATAACATTGATAACATTATCGCATAAAGTTAATCGAATAATTTGATCATGGGTATTTTAAATAATTTAAAGTATTTCCAATCAATAGTTTGTGAAATTTGTTACATAACTGACAATTTATATATATATTTACTATCAATATTTTATATCTATGTTAACGCTAAAGTAAATGCATTCATAGAAGTTGTTTAATCAATTGTATTAGACTTAGTCTATAATTAAAATACAAAGTTTTCAATAGTTTTGAACAAAGTTTTCACGAATCGTTTGATTTGAGTTTATCGGGTGAACACGATAAAAATGTTGTAAAGGCTTAAATAAATGGTATCATCACATTATTTTCAATTAATGTAAATGAGTGCAATTTAATAAATAAAATTGTTTTAAAAATTAATTTAAGTGTAAATCTGAATATTATAACAAATAGACTATGTAACTGTGAATACAATGTAGAAAAGTGAAAGTCATTTGGCACCACTTTTTTTGCTTAGTTTATATTTTGTTTTAACAGTGAAACAGTTTTTTGTCAAATAATTGTCAATTTTATGTATAAATTATATATAACTCTGAGAATTGAACATAAGTTTTGGTTTATTTTTGGGTTCAATAAATAATCGCAACTTTCACTCGACATTTAGTGCTCTAATATAATATTAGGCATATTTTCTGGTCTATTATGGACCAACTATTGTGTTATTCATATTACTGTAATACATTAAAA